GGCGCCGAGCCGCAACTGGATGTTTTCACTCTGCTTTTCTTTTTTTTTGAGACGGAGTCTTACAGTTATTTTGAGTTGTGACGCTAGAGCACTCTATGGAGGGCAACACAGTGAGACTCTGTCTCAAAAAAAAAAAAAATACACAGACCCACACCAGTCTGTGGCTGGAGGTTTCAGATTGCAGCATGATACTGATACAGGATTCCACCACGCAGTGCCACACAGGGAGTCCCCCATTCTCTAGGCCCAGGTGAGTTCAGAGGTCAGACCCCCATTTCCAGGCACAAGCAAACTGCCTTCTTGGCAGTGATAAGATCATGGGCTGTGATAAGATCATGAACAAAGCAGCCTGTGATGGGTTTTTGAGTGGTTCCACCTTGGGTAGGACCACACACATTAATCCCTTCTCAGGAACAAAGACGGTAAAGGACAGGATAAGTACATTCATTTGTTAATGCACTCATTTCCACCTACCAACTGCCAGCCAAGTCTAACGCTCTAGATCTAATTGCCCTAGATAAAAGAGCCCCTGTGGAGACTCCTCAGAGAGTTCTTCAGTTCCTTCCCGCCTTCCGGAAGCTCCGGTGCTTTTTACTTTTTTTTGTATTCCTTTCTAACTTCTAATAAAAGTCCTATCTTACCACTGATCTGTGGTCCGTGGGTTCATTCTTCAAATCTCTGAGACCAAGGACCTACTGAAGAGCGAAATTCCGTATCAATACCACGGTGCATTTGTGTTGTCAGTATTGTTAGGTGGGCCAAGGTAACTCCATCTTAGATCTGAAAAAGCCATTCTGTGAGACTGCTACAGGAAGACATAACTCAGATAAGGGAGACATGCCACAGGCTCGTCGCCTCCCTACACAGGTCTAGTTACAAACCCCTAAGAAATATCTTTACACTGCAAAGGCTCTGACACTGATAAGACCCCGCCCGGAGAGTCCCAATAATTAACTGCATGTCCTTGGCGCCCTGAGATAGGAAAGACTTGTCTGTAAAGCCAGTTGCACTTTAGCCTGCCATAAAAGATCCGCCACCCTCCCTAACGCTGCTGACACCTCTTTAGATCTCAGACCGCTCGCAGTCGAGCCTGTAATGAATTTTCCTGCATGTTTGTTACATTTGGTCCTGTGTGATTTGATCCTGCCCTCGTCTTACCCATCAAGTATCCGCTTCACAAAGCCATAAATTCTATATAGGTAGATACTGTCTCTCTGCACTCTTCTGCAACCTGCAGGTCCCTACACATAACGTGCTCCCACCGAGTACAAAAGAGGTAAGGAAGGATCCCTTCACACTTCTGCTACCCCACGCTGGTTTAGTTCCGCCTTCCCTCTCAACCAATGACAAGCGCCTACTCCCCGCTCCAGCCGACGTCGGTGGGCGGGGCCACGCATTGACGTAAACCTTACGTCTGTCTAGTTGTGGGCAGTGTTTCCGGCCTGAGAAACCGTCGCATTTCTGAGGTGACTCCTCAGCTGGCAGTTACCACCGCCTTTGAAACATCTGGACCGGTCGCCTCCATCACTAGCTTCACCATGGGAGCTGTGTTGGGCGTCTTCTCCCTCGCCAGCTGGGTGAGTTCAGCTGGCGGGGGTGGCTGTGTACTCGCTGGACCAGCAGTTTTGGGAAGAAGGAGTATGGGGATCCTGAAGTCCAGACCCCAAAGGGCCTCGGTTCTAGAGTCCCGGGGAATGGGAGGGCCTTGGGGTCCAGAGGACCTCCGGAGGCCCAGGCCCAAACCCGCGATTTCCCCAGGGCGGGATGGGGCTGCTTGCTCTCCGGGTTGGTTGAGGAACCGAGGTGGCCCGGCTGCCATTGTTTACAGTTCCGATCGCCCCGCCCCCGCGATCCTTCCGGACTTGAGGTTCCTCCCGAGTTGGAGTAGGACCAAGGGGCGGGGGCTCTGGCTGGTTCCAAAGTACCTCTTAAGGTGGCGTCATTACATCTCGGGTGGCTGGAATATTTTTATCCCATAGCACGGGATTTGACGAAACTACAGAGTATGTGGCAGAGCTTAGATTTTAATTGAGACCTGTCTGCCTGCCGTCATGGTGCGAGGGAAAGAAGGCCTTGTGGATTAAAATTGGAAGCCATAGCTTGAACATTTTGGGACGTCTACAAGTCGTTTATTTCTGATGATAAGTCACCCTGGGATTCCTCCCCTTAAGAACTGTTATGAGGATAAAAGTGAATAAAAGGGTTGAATAATGTTGTAAATTGTAGGCCAATTTTTAAGAGGACGTTTAGAGCCTAGGAAAGAGAATATGCTGATTTCCCTCATATACCCACTTAAGAAGAGGAAGATTCTTTGAACTCATTTCCTTGTTTCCTAATTTCCCAACTGATGTTGTACCCAACTTGAGTGGAATTATAGAGAAAACGCCAGCACACTTGAGTTCAAATTAGGTACAGGGTCCATTATTGGCCGGCTGACCGCGTTACAGAGGTAGGGTTTTTTTTTTATACCCTTCTTTCAGGTGGGGAGGGGATTGGAATTCCTAACGCAAAGCGGTTTACAGAAGCAAAAGGCGAGGTTAATATAAGGGGTCAGGGGCTGGAATCCAGCAATTAAGGAACAGAGCCAAATGGTGTTTTACAAGGGCCTGCATCCTGGGCTAATCTGCCCTATCTCCACAGGGTATGTTTATTTAACACTTCCCATTTCTACGAGGCCTACATGCTCAGGGACAGGGGTTGTGGGGTGAGGAGTGTGAGATGGGGTCAATCTGGCCTCCTCAATGTAATCGACCAAGTGTATAGAAAATACAAAACTCAGTTTCTCCTATTACACAATATGCTTTTGAGACCAGATGAGTGGGGATTTCCCCCCAAATATCAAGCAGTCAAGTCTGCAGCAGACACCAGCTGGGTGTCCACCACTTCAGGTCTGAGGCTGTCTACCTGGAGATGGCATAAGATCCCCTGGGTTGAGGGCTCAGACCCATAGACGGCCACAGCTCATGTCTGATGCCAGTCCCAAGCCTAGGGTTGATTTACTTGTGCCTCTGATTGACCAGCTGTAAATCAAGGTTTCCACAACCCTCCTCCTTGGGTTTGACTGATTTGCTCACAAAACTTGGGGGAACATGTTTGTTTGTTATAAAAAATACTTTATGGCCATGCCTGTGGCTCAGTCTGTAGGGCGTCGGTCCCATATACCGAAGGTGGCAGGTTCAAACCCGGCCTGGCCAAAATGCAGCAAAAAAAATAGCCCGGCGTTGTGGCAGGTGCCTGTAGTCCCAGCTACTCAGGAGGCTGTTGCAAGAGAATCGCCTAAGCCCAGGAGTTGGAGGTTGCTGTGAGCTCTGACACTACAGCACTCTACCAAGGGCGATAAAATGAGACTCTGTCTCCACACACACACACACACAAAATAAAGGTAGCAGAGGAAGAGATGCTCTAGGGCAGGTATGGGGGAAGAACTGTGGAGTTTTCCTGCCCCCTTTAGGGCCCCCCCCCCCCCAGGGAAACCGTCACATATTCAACTATCTGGACGCTCTTCTCGTCCTCTGGGTTTTTATGGAGGTTTCATTATGTAGGTATTGTTGATTAAACTGTTGGCCATTGGTTATCAACTGAGCCTTCAGCTTCTTTCTCTTCCTAAGAAGTTGGGGTGGGAGAGATTGAAAATCTCAACTTTGGGTGGTTTTTGCAAGGGTATCTAAAGTCAATTTGCGCCGAACCAGCACCTGGAATTGCTGCAGTTCTATTTTTAATTTCACGATGTTTTTCTTGGCCAAGAACACACTAAGTCGTCTCCAAGTTTGATACATTCAGCAAACAATGGCAAGGGTGAGCCACCAGAAACGAACACCTGATTTTCATGATAAATATGGTAATGCTGTATTAGCTAGTGGAGCCACTTTCTGTATTGCTGTATGTATGGACACTGTATGGACATATGCAGTGACACAAATTGGAATAGAATGGAACCTGTCCCCTGTTGGCAGAGTCACCCCAAAGGAATGGAGAGATCAGTAATCA